GACCAAAGTGGTCTAATAGTTGTCTTCCTGCAATAAGACATGTTAGACATGTCGTGCATTTGTGTGTGAAATGTTAGGTGGAGCCTCACAGTGATTCTTTTCGTCATTTGTTATAGTGTGATCCGGTTGTGTCAGTTTGGGTTGGCAGCTAGGCTCCGGTGTACGTAAATACCATATACATGGAACACCCATCTCACGCTTGGAGATCCAAATGTTCGGCAATGAGGATTGATGTGGCATGTTGGGTACCGAACTCAAGAGCTCTCTGGGGGTGGGGTTAGAGATTGTACTCGTAGTGCATCCGGAAGAGGTAGGGAAGGATGAGGGGAAAGAGGGCGGGAAGCCATTCAGTCAGTCCTCGTCGCTGCCGTATTGTTGGATTCTAGCGTGGCCTTTAGCCTGGATTATACGTATCACCACTGTTCTCTGAATTGTAAACATTCGTATAGAAACAAACATAATAGGGCCCGCTAGAGATTGGCTGACAACTTTTTGCAAGCCTAGATTGTCGGGATTGTAAAACTATGTGCAAAACCCTCAAGTCACAGACCCCCCCCCCCCCCCACCACCTCCCTTCCACATCCCCTAACCTCCCCCCACAACTGGAGCTATACAACACTTTAGAAAATGCACAGAATACTGACTGTTAGTAAAAATTATAGAAATACCTAAAACATTAAACAACAGTTAAATTAATACAACGGGGGAAAGGGGGGGGGGAGCATAGGAAAATGATAAATATTTCACGCGATGCAATTGAAAAGTAGATGAAATAAGAAAAATGTCTGCGCAGCCACCGATATAAACAGTTATAAAATAAATAAGATATCGATAAATTCGACATATGCATGGGAATAGCAAGAATCACTAAACAGGCATATTAATATATTTTTACAAAGTGGATAGAGAAAATGGGACGTCCAAGAGAAACCTTTAAAAGAACGTTGATGATAGAAACCAAAGGTGCTGGGCTGCATCCCATTCACGAGGTGAAGAAGATTGCAGGCGATATAACAGAATGGAGAAACAGAATGGAGAAACAGAATGCGAGCCTCATCTCTGATAACACTAAGTAGGGTCCAGAAGTCTATTTTAACCATATACAGGATAAGACTTTCTAAATATTTGCTCATAAATCCTATTATTTCACGTATAAAATCATGTATTTGTTTTCATCATTTAACACATTATTATGATTATATTATTGTGCTAAATGGGAAATAAACATTATAATTTACAGGATATAAATATTCAAAAAACATTTCTGCACATGGTCAAAATGCGTTTCTTAGGGCCTTTCAGAATTATGGGGCTAGGTGGAGTTTAGCGAGCCCTTTAAGGGGACTGAGCGACCAGTTACCGTGCCTATGGGGAAAAAAAGTCCTTATTTTATTTCCTACCCACAATTGTATTATTTTATGTGCCCATGTGTGTGTGTGTGTGTGTGCGCGTGTGTGTGTGTGTGTGTGTGGTGGGTGTGTGCACCCACTTGTTTACCACTTAAACATTTACCGGGAAACGCTCGTGCCGTCAGTGTGTTGCGGAATTTCCTGGTGACATGAACAAGTTCTTGCACAGCCATATTTGTATGAATCAGCAGAGACTAATGTCAGAACTGTGACCTTGAACTCTGAGAAACGAATGGCACAGAACGGTGTTCTTCAGCTTGTCGTGCAGCGGACCACTGAAATGTCCCGTTGATCCCTAAGGTACAGAGTTTTCAGTTTGTTGTTTTCCCGAATGCTGTTTTTGTAAAACATACTTTCTAAGCCATGTCAACAATAATAACTAAACAGAAAAATTAACTGTTATTCCAGAGCTACGTCTTTCAGAAACAACATCTAGCACATATGGCATATTTTCTGACCTCTGCATTTCTGAAAATTGTTTTGTGACATCGGAGAAAGCGCTGTCCACATTTGTTTTCGTTTCTGTGTTCGATTGTCTATTAGGTGGGCATCGAAACAATTTCCTTTGTGTTGATGCGCCGCCAGTGTAATAACAGGTTTGGGAATTGAGCAACGGATCAACATCATGGCACACTGGTAGTAACCCATAAGTGTTCCGTTCTTCTTCTGAGTCCAAAGAAGCTCAGAACACCCCACAGGCCGTGTAACACCGGCGAGGATCCTGAAATACTTTGGGTATAATTTTAAAACTCTAATAACGTTTTTTTCCGGGCAGCGCCTTTAAGCTACTCTTTTCGATTTACAATTGCCAAAGGATTTATTTACGCGCGCAACAATACACAAAGGCGTCTGATCTCACTACCCAGAGACCATGGGAAATTACTATAAGTCAAAGTCCACCTGAAAATTCCCAGCCCTTCCCGGGGCTTGAACCCAGAATTTCTAGCGCTCGGGGGGTGGGGGAATACTATGCCCCGAGACCACGCAGCCCCTGCGATGTAATAAAATAAACATAAAATAATCCTGGACTCGTTAGGGTGTAGCGATGGCAGTACTAGAACACAAAAGCCGCCATCATTCTCTGTCTTCATCTTTTTGAGCAAAGGTGTAATAATTTATTTCTGTCCATTTCTCGATGTTGTCATTCCAGTTTCTTCTCTTGACATTACAGTAGGTCATGGATAGATATGACCACCAACGCACGTGGCATGGACTAAAAGAAGTAGAAACGTGGAGGTAAAGGGGGAAAGGGGGGGGGGTGGACAACATTGATGGAGGGAATATTTTCCGGAAAACGAGGCAAAGGCCAACCATAACGAAAGTGGGTACACTAAAATAAAGCTGCATTTGCCAAGAAAGCACACAGGGCTGGAGATAGGCTAGAGAAAGAGAGACTTTTGGGCGTTATTTGGGAGAGCGATGATCTGTTGGTGCCTGGGCACTGTTTACTCGCTCCCAAAGACCTTACGACATCTGGCGTGTCACACTTCAATATACCATCAAGTAGTGCAGAACGAGCATTTCCCAACACACCATCATTCCCTGCAGAAAATATCCAAAGGACGCCAATTACCTAGTACCTCTAAAGCGATGCTGGCCACTCTGCGAGGAGCATACCTGCGTCGACCTTGCTCAACGTGCTCTGTGAGCCACCTGAAACTACCATGTGTGCAGTTATGGCGCTAAAGCCAGCGGAAGGCTGCAGTAACCGCCTCCATCCCCAATCTCAAACTAGACATTGTGGTATCATTTGCCAGGCTTTGTTGCACTGAGCGACGTCTATTCGCTTTTGCCAAGAACCCCACTGAACTTCGCCTGCCTGTCAACACAGAGCCATCTGTATAAATAGATAATCACATCACACGGGCGAGAATTGTCATAAATCATTTGTCGAACTTCTGATTTTGCTGGCCAGTCCCAGCACTCGTGGTCCAATGTAATTAGAACCCTACACAACTCTAATGGTTGCTCACAATCTTTATAAATGGCACCTGTATCATATAACAATAACTAAAGAATAAAATCGGAGTTTCTTTAAACTCTAAATTTTGCGTAAATATTTCAATAATATAATGAATCAAATTTAAAAAAAAAAAAAAGAATCATGATTTTCTGCAAGATTTGAACACCAAAGGAAAGTGAATTATCAGAAGCTTCGTGCCTCAGAAAATGCAGAACTTATTCTTCTTCTTCGCTTTCTCTGTCCTCGCTTCTGGTGTCAAGGGAGATACGTAAATGATTCTTTCTCTTCTCTTCTGATCGCCCCGACAACAGACGTATCCTACTGTTGTAAGTGTTTCTCTGTTATATTTCTATTATATTATTGGACTACTTGGTGCTCTACAACATTTTTTTTTTTTAAACTTTAGTACTTGTAACTTACGAAACACAGCTGTATATTAGAGGAAACAGTGGTGATAGAGGAAGTTCTCGAAAAAAGCAGCTAGGGTGGATCACCACGATTGTGAAAACGGCAAACTGTAAACACGTTGATCGTCAAAATGCATGAGAATGGAGAGTTGTCAAATGATCAAGGGCTTAATGAAGATGATGATAATGATGACAATAACATTTGTATGTACTACAATGCGCTGAGTTCCGTCAATTACGATGTCACATTATTGTAACTAAGTTCTGTTAGAGATTTTAGTGGGACTCCTTTATTCGTCTACGCCAGTATTCGTCATTTTTAATATCATCCTGCTTTTAAAAAAAATGATATTCGCACGAAAAGTTAATATTCGTCCTTCCTCCGCCGTGACCGGCGAGTCATCAGAGGATTTTTAAAAAATGTGATGGGCCGTTTCAAGTGCTTAAATTAAGGAATAGCTGTCTACTTGGGCAAATGTGCTGTTGTCATCAAGAAATGGCACCCAAGCACTGCTATAGGTAATCAGCGTATGTATTCATTTGATAACGATGTGTTTGCACACTTTCCGAACATTAAAAAAAAAAAAAAAATCGAAGAAAACAAACATACAGGATAACGTTATTGACAAAAAAAAAAAAACGAGTGGTGGTCAATCGTCTGCAAATGCTGCTGAATAATTAGGACACCAGTCACCTGAAATAATAATTGTGGGAGGTCTCCTCTTTCTAACAATAGCCGTTGTTATTCTCATCCAAAAGATAAATATCATTTTACAGTTGTATTTATATATTTATGTAGGCCTGCGTTATATTTACAACATCAGGATGAGTAAATATCTTTCACAATGTTTGAGATTAGTAGTTAATATGTAATTAAAATGTATTTGCAATGATTTCTAAGTTCCATTTTGGAATGAAATTTTGTTATTGTTTAGGACTAATAAGACAATTCTAGATTGGGAACTGATTAAAACATTTTTACTTTATGCCTGTGCGGAAAAAAAAACACTAGTTTGATATGGATCTTTTTTTTTTTTTCAATTGGTCCTCCCCGCAACAACGGATTAATGACGAATCTTGTAGTTCCGCTGTACATATAAAGGGATAAATTGACAAAGTTTTTTAAACATTTGTATGTTTACATAGTATATGATATCCACGAGGTCTGGATAATGGTTTCGCAAACATACAAGATGAGATAAACAAGACTGACCTGTCACGATGGAACCAGGGGCTACCAGTGTTTTGATTCTTCGCTTTCTAGCATTGATTGGTTCTCTCCGTGTCTGTCACGGTAAGTACATCGTGCATTGCTTC